CCAGGCCAATGCCCAGACTTCATTGACAGTTGAATTGAATTCCAGCTTATTTAGCTGTCCAATATGTTGCTTTGTATGCATTATATTTTATTTTATAAAAAAATTTCTGTAAAACCGCAGGGATACAAATAAAACCACAGGGATACATCACATTTGTAGCACAGGCGGTGCCTTTGATACGCCCACTCACTATTATACAATTGAAGTTGTAGCACTGGCGGTGCCTTTGATCTGCCTATGCATCATACATTGCATATCTGCCAGCCCTAGAGAAATTTCCCTAGGGCTGGCAGATATTCATATCTTTCCTGTGAATGACGTTTCCGATTTATAATGATATTCATTGGGATACCATAAATAGAAAAATTTTCAGGTCGCCATTGTGGAGGTATTGCTGCACTGTTTCCAATGGAGCTCGATACACTTTCTGCTGTTTTGTAAGAAGAGCAAGCAGTTATAGTCTCAAAAGTAAAAAAATTGCAACCTTTATCTTTCTTTTCAGTAGTCTGCAACTGTTTAGAGCCACTGGAGTGGTGTGGAGAAGTAGAATTGACAGTTTTTAGCCTGTCGATCCATTGTAACTAATGATAGTATACCTCCACAATGGTGGCCTGAAAAAAATTTCCATTTACGGTATCCCAATGAATATCATTATAAATCGGCAACGTCATTCACAGGAAAGATATGAATGCAATGATATTCATTGAATATCCACTATAAACCATGCTCCATGTCCAGCTATTGCAATGGGACTTCCGGTCGCATTGATTTAATGATATTCATTGGAATTACCATAGCAACGGCAGCTCAGCAATGGTGGATTGATAGGACGCTTCACTACAAAGCCTGCTAACGTCTTTCTGGTTCATGGATGGGACCTCACTAGATACTTGGAGCTTCTTGAATGCTACTTAATGCAATTGGTTGTGGTAGTTTTTTTCATATTCTATTGTTAAAGTGGCAGGCGTGGCGCAAGAAGACTCATCCACTAACAAAGGGCCTTCTTGTTATTACTTTAAAAGGATCTAGAGACATGATTTGCTTGTATAGCTGTTAAGCACTCTTAGTTTTACTTTATTATTCCCGTGAGAAGAGAAAAGCACTTGTTCACTCTTGTTGCTGCACCCGTTATCAGGCTGAGACAACTAAAATTATTTCACCTTTAGAAGACTAAAGTACCGAACAAAGTTTTGAATTTCTTTATCTTTTTTGCATGATTGGGCAGTAAAAATGTTGTACTTTCACAAAATAAGTGCGCAATTTGTCAAAAATTGTTTGAAATTTAGATATAACCATTCAAAAAGTAAAAAAATTATCATACATACATAAAGGAATGACAAAATGGCGGCACTGACTGCCCTCATCTTTAATCTGCAAATGTTCCACACAAAGTTACTCCAAGTGCTGTCATATTTAGCAGGAACACAGGTATAATTATGGAGAACAACTACTGAAGTGCGCAAATTGATGAAACTTATTCTGAAGAAAGATATAGCCTAGTAAATGGAAATGTCCATTCCTGCCCTGTATAAAGTCAACCAGTAGTATACGGAGATAATTGCTCAGTATACTAATCCGCGACCACTCATTGCTGGACATGCAGTACCTTTGTTCTGTATGGCTTCTGAATAAACCAGTTATTACACCCTACTGGAGGCTTTATACACTCAAACTATATTCATAATTCCCTCCAGTATGGTGTAATAACTAATACCATATTTATCAGTAACTATTATGATTACCTGTATAAACTATTATGACGACAGTCATAATGATTACAATAGCCTCCAAAATAAAAGATATTCCTTCCAATGGCAGCAGCTGCATAGCCACTAACACCCAGTGGAGGGTTACCAGTGGTGGGTTTCTGCTCCCACCTACCAGTCCTTAGGTCACACACCTCCATCACAGAACACATTGATTTCTTCTCTTCATTATTATGTACTGTAGGGAGACCAGGCTGGTCCCCACCCCACATGTACAGGTAGTCTCCTACCCGTACAGTAGAGTGTCCACTCCTCTTCACTGGTTGATAGTCTATAGATAACAAGAGGTAACAGTAACTGGATGATACAAAAACTGACCTGGTGCTTTGGCTGCCATTAATTAATTTTGTTTGGAGGCCTTTTATGACGTCATACAAATAGTTTAATAAACACTTAATAACTAAACAATTTTAAAATTAAAAAATTAATAGCAAAAGTATACCCTATCAACAAAATCTGCAACAACAACAACAACAACAATAATAATAATAATAATAATAATAATAACAATAATAATAATAATAAGTCAATCAGCCAACAATGCATTATAGTTAAACAAATGTATGTTACATGTACATGTATATAAGTGTGCATGTACATGTATTAGTGTATTATAGTATATGTATTGTTTTTAATTAAAAGACATCCAGGAATCAGCTCCAGAAGGGGGAGGGGCAGCCCCACCCCCTCTGCTAGTAAAACTATCACCAAACATATCCATACCACCTCCAAAACCGCCCCCCGTCCTGGGGGCAGGGGGCAACGCACCAAAAGTATCGTCAAACCCAGAAGGGGCCGGGCCAGAAGTAGTTGGCGGGGCATCAGTGAAGTCTAAATCAGGTGGACGGTATGGTAGAGGGGGTGGAGTTTCTGTGTTAGTGGGAGGAGCTTGGAATATTGTGGGAGGGGTCGGTTCTGGTTTTGATGTTTTGTCCCGAGCTATTGAGACCAGATCAGAGAATGCATCAATTTTGCCCCCGGCCCCCTGTGGGGGCTGCCCACCTCCATGGGTTCCAGCCCCTCCGGTATTAGTAGGTAGGAGTGGTTGAGAGAAATTGCTGTCTAGTAAGGGGTCAGCCGGTAAACTGAAAATATCTTGAAATGGTGGGGGCTGGGGGCCGCCGGAAAATCCGCCCATGCCTCCTCCAAACTGAAACTGTCCCGTTCCGTACCCGGCAGGAGGTCCCATTCCCAAACCAGGCATTCTCACTCCCATACCTATCGGGTAAGCAATGGTTGTGTTTTGCTGTGGGTTGCATATAGCATCCATAAGATCCATCGTAATGGAGGGTTCCTGTACAGGAGGGGGTGGGTAATTAGGGGGAGGGGGCTGACCGGCCATACCAAACGGGTTTGGTTGTGGGGGTGGGGTAAATGTAGGCGGGGCTTGAGGCTGATTCCCGTACAGACTAGTAAGAGCTCCACTGCCTGAGAAGACGTCAGATAAATCATCAAACCCACTTGAGGAGGGAGGAGGATTGGCTGGAGGGGGAGGGTGAGAGGGGGTTGTACCCCCGGCTGGGGGCGGGTACGTGCTCCTCCTGTTGGGGCTGGTGGTGGTATTATCATGTACTCTGACTGAGCAGTAGGAGCTGGAGCAGGAGCAGACTGGGAGAGAGAAAGAAATTATAAATTAACAATTATATACAATAAAACTATACAAAATGATGTAGAACATTAAAAGGCAAAGCTAGGCAAGCGAAAAATTGTACATTTCTAGATACAGTTAGTTATATCATGCATGATACAGCAGGACAGCTTAGAACTTGCATGGAGGAAATTTATGTTAGTTCTTGGCTTGCTCTTCTAGCTAGTAGCTATATGTATTAATTTAAGAATCTCTGCAGCAATTTGTGATTAAATTAATGGATAAATATTACACTACTATACTGCTGTTGTTGATTTGTTGCCCATCACTTACTGTTGCTGTTGTTGTAGGTGCTCCTATAGCATTCAGTTCTGACTCAAGAGCACCCCATTCAGACATAGCAGCTGTCTGTGGCTATTAAAAAAAAAATAATAATAATCATTAAATTAATATTAAAACTAGAAAGAATGTAAAACATTGAGGGGCTCCGCCTCCAGACCGCACCTCCCAGTCACGCCCAGACGTACGTTCAAGTTCTTGTAAGTAAGGGCTTCGCCCAATAAGTTTATTTTCATTACTTTTGCTGCCTGAGGAGTTTTATCATCACCAAATGTCTAAAAAAAGATTAAAATACAT